GACAGTAGTTTTAGCGATTCAACTTCTAGTATCGAGGTTGACGTCATCAACAACAACAAAAACAACAACGGCAGAAACATCACAATACTTATTAACAGTAAGAAAAACAACAACAACAACAGCAACAACAACAGCAACAACAACAGCAACAACAACAGCAACAACAACAGCAACAAAAACAGCAACAACAATGGTGTCAGCCATTTCAGACCAATTCTTATGAAACAAAAATCAATCGACGATAAAACAACATCATCATCGTCGTCGTCATCATCACCATCAACCTCCAATATATCGCCAACATCACCGTCACCATTTTCATCATTATCATCATCCTCACCGTCATCGTCTTCGTCATTTAGGGTCCCATCATCTGCAAAGGGGCTGGGGCTTATGAAGAAAAAGTTCAGACCCAATCTGACCATTGTACGTGTTCTTTCTCTTTCTGTTTTTCTTTCTCGCTTATTGCTTTTGTTTTTTTTGCGATTTTTAGAAAATTTTTCCCCTAGCTGATGTTGTTTACATTTTTTGTGGGAGGTTGAGATTTCAGTCAAATTGACGTCTCAGAACAGTTAAATGTTTGTAAATTTGAATAGGTAATGAAATTATGAATATTGAATATTTCTTATTTTTTATCATCACAACCGTTCAGCAACTGCCATCACACGACGATACGGAACAGCCCAAAACAACGACATCACATTACCAGCAACCTCAGCCGCAACTGCAACACCATCACCACAGACCTCTCCAACAACATCGACACCAACAAACTCCACACGTGCCAGAGAATGATGACGTCACACATGATGACGTCAACGATGTACTCCGCTCGTTGAGACCCATGTCACCGGACGCCCAACGAGAAATGAAGGAGGTACTGGACATGGCTTACTTTGCGGGTAAAGAAAGGCAGGCCCCGAACTCCCCTGGGGTCTACAAGTTAAAAGAGTCGCCATCCCCCGCTTTCAATGGTTCGTCAATTTTCAACTTTTTCAAGTCTCCGAGGGCAAAGGTAAATGAATACCTGGAGGAAGTAAATGACAGGCACTCTAACTGCAGTAGTAATGGTGTCAGTGCTTCGAGAGGTGATAACAGGTTCAACAGCGATCGGTGTGCTAGCGGTTCTACGAATTCGTTTCAGACCTCTACAGCCTATACAAAAAGACAGGGACAGAATAGCGTTGGTTTGAATAGTAGCACGAGCAGCGTTGTAAGTAACGGGGATGCCAAGCATAGAACAATGCGACAGGGATGGCACAGTCGAAACCGACTCGATAGTACCGGCAATCATTCGGGTTCGTCTTTCGAATCTTATTCAAGTATGAGCGATTTAAGCTGGAAAGTTTACCGACGAAACCGGCTAAAGCGAATGATGTGCGATAAATTTCGACCGAAATTCGAACCTTATAAAGTACATCCCCTGCCATCAAAAAAAGCACCGCTTTCGTTATCTTCGAAAGCATCATCATCATTATCAATGACGTCATCATCAATGACATCATCATCATCAATAACATCATCATCATCGTTGTTGTCATTGCCAACGAAATGGTTCACACCATCATCACCATCATCATCGCCTCTCATGTTACCATTCGCCTTGTTATCACTAATGCCACCACCATCATCATCATCATTATCATCACAATCATCACCAATGGTTAAATATTTATCATCATCATCATCATCATTATCGATAGTTTTCAAAAAACTTTTGAAAAACCCGCTGCTGAGACCAGTAAACAAATATTCATCATTATCATCATCATCATTATCGCCTTCTCTGCCATCATCATCATCACCACCACCATCATCATCATCGTCATCATCATCATTGATGAACATAACATCATCATCATTAAGTAGTGATAATAGGCATGATAATCACATTAATACTCCTACTGCTAGTACTAGTACTACTGCTGCTGTTCTAAATGTTGATAGTAAAAAATGTAAGGAGAATGTGAGTATGAGTAACGAGGATCAAAATGGCATGAACAACAACAACAACAACAACAATAATAATAATAATAATAACAACAATAATAATGATAATAATTTTCAAACAAAATTTGTGTTAAAATTTGTCTCGACGATGATGCTAGCAAGCCCAAAAAACATCAACAACAACAACAACAACAACGTCACATCACCATCATCATCATCGTCAAGAGGTGATAGTAATAGTGACTCAACCATGGTCGCCGATGATGATGATGATGAAAACAACAGCAACAACAACAACAACAACAACAATACCACCATTACTGATGGTAATGAGATCAACAACAACAACAACGACATCAATAACAATAACGAAAAAATTAAAACTGGAAATCTTGATAATGATGAAAAAACTGCATCATCATCACCATCACCATTATCATCATCATCATCATCATCATCATCATTACCGCCACAACGAAAGACATCACCACCACCCCCACTATTACCGAGAGCTCCGGTAAAATTTCTCACCCTCAAAAAACCGGCCAAATTACCGATCGATTTCAAACCGAATATCGTCGAACCGACAAAATACGCCACAATTTACCACAAGAAACGATGTCTTTCCGAGCGGGAGCCAGAGACGGATAAACTTAGGGCCTCAGCATGGCTGCAAAACAAAGAATCTTTAAATAATAGTTTTGATTCTGTGTTTACGAGAGGAAGGCAGACATTATCTTTGCTGCCGATGACGATTTACGACGATGACGTCACTAGCAACAACAGTAATAACAATAAAATGTTTGTAAGTAGCAACAGTATTGCCGTGCACCATCAACAGAAGCCACAGCAGCAGCTACAACGACCACAAAACATTTTCACCAATCAGCACACGCCAACATCGCCATCACTTCCGCCCCTGCCCGTTAAGATACCAGCGTCGTCTAAGTCGGTATCATCGTCGTCGTCGTCATCTTCACCATCCACATCATCGACAAAAACACCATTATTCAAATCAGCAACAATGCTAATACCAGCTATTAAACAGGAAAACAACAACAACAACAACAGTAATATTAATAATAATAGTAATAATAGTAATAATAATAATAACAACAACAACAATAATAATAATAACAACAACAACAGTAATAATAATAATAATAATAACATATTTTTCAATCAGAACTTCCCGAATTTAGCATCCCTGCTTCTTAAGAATAACAAGACCATCGAAACCATCGGTAGCAAAAATGACGTCATTAATAATAATAATAAAAACAACAAAAGTAATAATAATAATAATGATGATGACGATGATGAATGCTATGAGGATAATTTAGAGTTGCTTTTGGATGGCGATGTTAAAACGATGTAAGTATATATTTGGTTGATATTCTTCTCGTTCTTCTTCTTCTTCTTCTTCTTCTTCTTCTTCTTCTTCTTCTTCTTCTTTTTTTTCTTCTTCTTCTTTTTCTTCTTCTTATTATTATTATTGTTATTATTATTATTAATACGATTAATGACGACAATAACAACAACAAGAATAATAACAATATTAATGATAATAATGGTGGTAACTATGACGACGACGATGATGATAATAATAAGAATAAGAACAATAATAATAAGAATAATATTGTTGATGATGATGACGATGATGATGACTGTGCCGTCGTTCGCCGTGAGAAAGTCGAACAAATGGACAAATGAATCATAATCTCGCACCAGCGCCATCGTGTTGAAATTAAAATTTAAAAAAATATAATCAGAAAAAAAAAATTTCATTCGTTCATTTGTTCGTTCGTTCGTTCATTCGTTCATTTATTCATTGGTTCGTTAATTCATTCATTCACAATGTTTTACAACGTCTGCATTCATGCGTTCGTTCGTTTGTTCATCCATCTATCTGCCTGTCTATCCATTAATTTATTCATCCATTCATTTATCATTCGTTCAATCGTTCATTCATTCATTCGTTCATCCATTCATTCATTCATTCGTTCGTTCGTTCATTCGTTCGTTCATTCATTCATTCATTCATTCACATTTCTCAATTCGCATGTCATTTTTGTTATGCCTTGCCCGCTGTGACTGCAACTTTATAACAACAGCCGCTACTACTACTACTACTACTACCACTACCACTACTTCTGCTGCTAGTATTTCTGAACAAATCCACATTCTATTACTATTATTGTTGTTATTGTTATTTATTGTTGTTATTATTAATATATTATTATTATTAATGTTGGTAATTAATTATAATTAATTATGTTAATTTTCAGGAAAGAAACAGCACATCAAGTAAAGGAAATAATAAACTTTTTTAAGAAACAGGTAACATAATAATAATAATAATAATAATAATAATAATAATAATATCTAAAATATAATAAATAATTTAACTCATCCATCCATTCGTTCGTTCCTCCATCATTCAATCACATAATTTTTTCCCTCTCAAATTTACAGGTTCAAGAAAGTATTAATTATGACGACGACGATGATGATAATCATAATAATAATAACAACAGCAACAGCAACAACAATAATAATAACAACAACAACACCAATAACAACAGCAAAAGCGACAACAACAACAATAACCATAACTGCATGAACCACAACATCATTAAGTCGTATCAATGACAATTGCAGTTATATATATATATATATATATTAATATATATATATATATATATATATATATAGAGAGAGAGAGAGATAGAGAGAAAGAGAGAGAGAAAAAAAGAGAGTTTTTTGGCATTATACGTACATTTCAGTTCATGAATTTCGAGTACGTATATCTCTCTCTCTTTTCTCTCTCTCTCTGTTTCTCTCTTTATTACATTAACATATACTTAGTGCCACTTTATCTCTCACTCCATTCTTGTTTTATACTATACCTATATGTATATTCTTGTCTTTCTTCCAATCTTTCTCTCTCTCTCTCTTTTTTATTCTTTCCCTCTCTCTCTTTCTCTCTCTCTCTCTCTCACACACACACTCTCTCACTTTCATGAATATACTTTTTTGTATTCTAATTGCAGTTATCTTTGGCAAAGGCCTTACTATTTCAATTTTTCAAGTTTTAAATTGATTGAACGCTTTAATGAATGATTGATTGATTGGTTTATAATAAATGAATGTAGGAACGAACGAGTGAATGAGTGAACGAATGGGTGAACGAACAAATAGATGAATGAGATAAGACAAACGAACGATTGAACAAATTTTATATTTTATTTTCCATCCATCCCCATCTACAGAGTTCAGCGGCAGCCTTCGATTTGGTATTTTGCATAACGTTAAAGAATTTTTTTACAATTTAAGAACAATTTTTTCAGAGCCCTTTTGCTGTTTTTGATAATTAAAAATTTGTAAAATAGTTTTTTTTCTTGTTTACAGCCCTTCGAAGGACTTAATTTCTTTTATTTTTAATGAATTTCGATAAGTTTTTCTTCATTTAAAAAAAAGATCATTAAGAAAGAAATTTCAGTGGCTGTAGTAGTAGCAACTTGTAGATTGTGTTTTTGCATAACCGCTTGTACAAATAATTTTTGGTTTATTTTTTGTAGTTTTTCAGTTTTTTGAATTGCAATGTCATGTTTTTTTTGAAAAATAACTTTATTTTTCTATATATTTTACATTACATCTGTAAAATAGATTATTTTTTGGTTTTTCCTTAATAAAAATCATTGCGTCGTGTTTTATCCTGTTTTAAAGCGTGTTGTTTGCAACATTAATTCAGCTATTCAATTTTCTTCTTTCTCGTGCCTTATCCTTTCAGGACATTGTCGACCATCGACCTCCACAAAACCCGATTTTTAACACTTTGTAGTAGTTAAAATGTGGTGATATTCAACAAGTGACACAAGGACTTCATTCGTTGTTGACCGCGATCTCATTTCCCTGCAATCTTTCCAGTAGTTGTTAGATTTTCCATTCTTTCCTTCCGCATGATGTGACCAAAAAACTTTAACTGCCCCCGTCGGATCATCTGTAGCGATTTCCTCTTTTCATAACCAGACTGTTTCAATACATCCTCATTTCTATTTTTATATTTATTTTTATATATTTCGACAAACCTAGTCATCTTGTTGCCAACTTCCATTTCTGCTCTTTGTTGTCAAAAGAGGCCTGTGATAACTCTCGTGTTTTTTCAACGATATTAAAATATAATAATATAAAATTCAATTACAACTTATCAATTTTTTTCTGAATTTTCCGTTTTCAATCAATTGGTTTAACGTTTCATCATCCATTGAAGAAATTATTCAAAAAGTTTTTCAGCTTTCCACACTCAACAGCTGATAGTAAAATGGCGGCATGTTTTTCCAATTATTTAGTCACGTTTCGTCATTTTTAAGAAATAAATATTAAGAAAATATTAATCTTTATTTAAAAACACGAAATAAAAATTAACAATGCATCAATACGCCATTTCCTACAAAAAAATTTTAATAGCATCAGTAGTTGGAGTGTCATGTTTCGTTCTCTACAGGCGATTCTTTAGAAGAAAATCTAAAACACCAACAAAACCCTCCTCCAAGGAAAGTAACGCCAGTGAAATGAAAAACGTTAATTCAAAGAAAAACCCCGCAAAGAAAAATTTCAATATTATAAATAAGTATGTGGCCGTCCAGTATTTACATCATCTGAGAGAAGTATATGATAGACCTGATTCTAAACAGCTAATGATGCTCTTGAACACCATTGCGGAGTTGGCTGCTTTCACTGAGAATCAAGTAGCCATTTGCTGTTCATTTGTTGTGATTGGTGTATTTAATTTTTTATTTTTGTCAACAATTATAAATGAAGTATTGTAATTTAATGAAGTATATTTAAACGAAATATTTTTAATTAATTATTTCAATATTTAGAATGCATTTAGAGAAGCAGGAGTTGTAGAATTTTTAATCTCGCTTATGCTAGTCCCAACATATCCATTATATTGTTTTTTGCCTCGGGCAGGAGATTCTCCTCACATGTTCAATTTGGTTTATTGTTCGTTAATGGGTGCTATGAACAACTTGTCTCTCAACTCAAACAGCCAGCATCTATTTGCGGTATTCTTGATTATAATTTTTTTGTTGTGGTCATATGTTCAATTTTGATTTAATTTTATTAACAAATTCTTAGTTTTTCATACTACTAAGCTAACTATAAACATTAACATGATTTATTTTTCATGCCAAACAGCCGACCATCCCCACGGTCCTGCGCTACCTTGAGCTTGATGTATTAGCTAACCACCCCACAAAAGTTTCACTATGGTTCCTAATTAATATGTCTCTTGTGGACGACTACCACCAATTATTTTTGTCCAAAATATGCACCATCTTCTCACACGTTTGGTTGAAAAACAAAATCAACTGCCAATTAGAAGCCCTGAAACTTTTGATCAATTTGGTGAATAATGAAGATGTTGTTGTTGAATTTGTGTCAACGCCCGTAAGACTATTTTTTGAAAATTTTTGTTGTTAACTCATAATTTTTATTGTTATTATTATTTATAGTAGTAATTGTTATGATAATTATTATTCATTTTCAAAACTACTAATTAACTACAAACGATTTTACAAAACTACCACAGGTTCCAGATGACTATGTAGCGGACCCATTAAACAATCGCTACTTCGAGGACAGAGATGTTTTACTGAGGTGGCTAATTCTTTTGAATATTTTTATGAATTACGTCGTTAAAGATAAATCAGTTCTCGGCCCAGCACCAGAACCAAAGCCCCTAACCCTCCCTTCTTGCAAACTCCCTTCTTCTACAGTGTCTAACCCTAGTATTTGCCACACATTTGGAAATATATATTTTGATGAGAGTTTCAGATTACGGCTTCTTGATAGTTTGTGTCTTTGTCACAAGAAACTCAGCAAAGCTAATGATGAGGAAATGTATCAGTTGAACCTCCAACTGATGTTTATGGTGCAAGAGTTGACAAGTATTTTGAAATGATTATTATTTAGGGTTTTTTTTTATTATTACATCATTGTGAATGTTCTTTGTTACAAATGAATTCAGGGTTTCAATGTACGTTTATAATTTTGAAATTTGATTTTAAAATTTTCGACACAATTGATTATTATTTAGGGTTTTTTTTATTACATCATTGTGAATGTTCTTTGTTACAAATGAATTCAGGGTTTCAATGTACGTTTATACTTTTATTTCAATATGTTGTTTTTGTTCAAAATAATTTTTTCATATACCAACTGTACGTACACGAATGTAACAAATGTCCCGAATGAAGAAGTACAGAAGAACACAGTCTTTGCCATACGTTCGTTCACTTACATTTTCAATTTTGATTAGATTCACTGGTTGGTTATTTTGAGCTTTTATTTCACAATTATTATTTCGTATTAAAAACAAATAAACCCAGATCATTTCAACAAAATAATGTTAATAGAGCAAGCAGTATTAATTAATTATATGCGGGGTGGTGTTAATGTATTAGTCAAAGTGACTAATGAACGAGTGCATTAATGAGTGAGTGATTGAGCGTGCTAATGAATGAGTGAGTGAGCATGCTGATGAATGAGTGAGTGAGCGTGCTAATGAATGAATGAACAAATGATTGAATAAATGGGTGAAATAATGAATGTATGAGTGAGTGAATAAGTGGACGAGAGAGTTGTTGAGTGAATAAACGAAGTAAATGAACAAATGTACGAATGAATGAATGTATAGATGGATGAATACGCCATCCTAAGAAAAGAATTAAAAACGACAGATCCAAAACTCAAACATTTAAATGCAGTAGTTTAAGATGAAGAAGTTCATGAAAAGATTGAAAACAATGAGAAAAATAGTTCGGATGTGGTTTTTCTCCTCGTTATACATCACAGCTTTAAAACGATTTTATCACCAAATTAAACAAATAAATGAATGAATAAACAAATTAATGAATAAATAAACAAATAAATGGATGAATGAACAAATAAAGGAATAAATAAATAAAATGTAATTCAAGTAAATTTAATTGAATAAAAGGATGGAAATGATGAAATTACAAAAATATTTTGAAGGAGGTTAAACTCAAACTAAAAGAGACACCATCCGATTATTAATCGATCATTCGTTCACTTTTTCATTCATTCATTCACTCATTCATTTATTTATTTATTCATTCATTTATTCACTCATTTATTCATCATATTCTTTTATACGTAATTATAATTAAAATTAGTATAAATATTAAAATCTTATAGAGAATCCTTCGTAATTTTTATTCACTCTATTTACATCTATAAGCACGTTGTGTTCTTTGTTGAGGGTAGTGTATTCACTGATGTTCCATCTTTTCATTACTTGATCAACCTCGAATCTCAAGACATTTATAATCTGTTTGTGTGTATGCGCGTGTACGTGTGTTTACGTATGTGTATGTACGCGCGTGTGTGTTTGTGTGTGTGTGTGCGTGTGTCTGTGTGGTTCTCTGTGTGTTTCCGTGTGTGTGTGTGTGTGTGTGTGTGTGTCTTTTCGTGTGTATGTATGTATGTACGTGTGTGTGTACGTGTAATAATAATAATAAATACAGTATAATTAATCTTACCAAGCCTAGAAGGAGTTCACTGATGCCAAAAAACAGACACCACATCCATTGTTCAATGGACAAGCCAGTCGTGAAGAAAGCATAGCCACCGAATTCAACGATGATAACCTGGAAATAATCAAATAACCTAACTACTTAAGAACATTATACACACACAAACCAACACACACACACACACACACACAGATTCACATACCTAAATGGACATATTAATAATGCAACAACCTCATTAATAATAACTATATTGATAACAGTGATAACTGTAATATTAATAATAATTATATATTATTATATTAAATATATAATACATCTAAATATATAAATGAGTGATATATATATAATATATAAATATATATTATATTAAATATATTATTATATTAAATATAATAGTAATTATTATTATTATTATAATAATAAGCAGCGGAAAGGAATAGTGAAAAACCTGAAGAAAAATTGTTAGAGACCAGAGGACAGTGAAGAGAAGACTGCGTTGTATATCTTCAAAGACGTTGAAAGTTCCATCAATCTTTCTGCAATTGATCTCGTTGAATAGGGACATGATGACTAAGAGATTGAAAATGAAAGTGAAATGTTGGTTCGGGATTCCCCGGATGTCTTCATCCTCTCCGGATTTTATTCCGAGTAGATCGTCGCCTAGAATTATTATGGTGCTGGTCACGGACAGTTGTAATACGATGATGGTGAGTGTGGAGGTGATAACGATGATGAAGATGATGACGAAAATAAGGATTGAAACATTTTGAACGTTTGAAACTTTGAAGAACGGGCAAACTAGCATATCCAGTAACAAATACACAAACCAACCAACCAACCATCTAACCAACCAACCTACCAACCAACCTACCAACCAACCAACCTACCAACCATCTAACCAACCTACCTACCAGCCTACCAACCTACCAACCAACCAACCTACCAACCATCTAACCAACCAACCTGCCAACCATCTAACCAACCTACCAACCAACCAACCTACCAACCAACCTCTGAACAGAACACACAGCAGCACAACAAGCTGATAAGAACTATGCACTGCGATATTGATGACGATACTCCATGATAAAATGCTCTTGTTGCGACCGTATGGTTTCCTCTTCAGCAACCTCTCGTTCGGATACTCGGTTGCTAGCGACAAAGAGGCCAGCGTGTCTTGAATTAGATTCACCCATATCATCTGGACTGCTTTGATTGGCGTGTCCTAAACATCGTGATGACGATGAGGATGATGAGGATGGTAATAATGATGACGATGGTAGTAATAATGATGATGACGACGATCACCCAAAAAAAAATCAAACCTTCGACCCACACACGCGCAGACTAACCGCTACGAAGCAAGCGCTGATGAACGCAATGAAAACGGCGACGACATTGACAGTAAGTTGAAATTGTAGAAATTTGGTGATGCTATCGAAAACATGTCTGCCCCAGACGACAGCCTTGATGATCGAAGTGAAGTTGTCGTCCGTGAGGATTATGTCAGACGCTTCTTTTGCCACGTCGGTTCCTGTTAAGCCCTGGTGGTGATGATGGGGATGAGAAGAAGGATGAGGAGGAATAAGAAGAGGATTGTGTTGGTGGGGGTGATGATTTTACTGACCATAGCAAACCCGACGTGTGCTTTTTTGAGGGCCGGTCCGTCGTTCGTTCCATCTCCTGTTACCGCCACAATCTCTTGATCTTTGGTTAACCTGCAATCAAAACGGCGGCAAAACTTAAATTTGAATCCAACACTTCCAATCAGAAAAGGCGCTAAACTTTTAAAATTGAAATAATATTCACAACAATAGATCCGCTTGACGTTCAAATGCGTTTGTATCGAGTGTCGATATTATCTGTCTAAAGAGTTTCGCCGATACAAAAGCCAGCGCTATAAGAGTACCAGAGATACAGTATTCCAAGATTGTGTGATTAATGATAATAACAACAAAATTAAAAATAATCAAAATAATAAAATTATCAATCATAAAAATGTGAATGATTATAATAAAAAAAAAGAATAATAAAAATAATACCTGCTATTCATAATGCCCTTCACTAAATTGTATTTATCTGTTGGAGTTGAACGGGCCAGTACTCTGAGTCTTGGCCAAACCTGGTCCATTGTCTCCTGCTTGAACTGATGACAATAATAACTATGGGAACATTCTCTTATTTACCGAAAAGATAAAATCCAAATGAAATCAATCGAAAATTATTAATTATATATCAGAGTGTAAATAAATAAGATGTAAAATATAAAATAATAATAAAATAATGATGAAAAGATGGAGAATAATAATAAAAAGAGGAAGAAGAAGAAAAGGTAAAAGAAGAAGAAGAAGAAGAAGAGAAAGAAGAAGTGAAAGTTATCACACTGTGATTACATAATGTTTCATAATCACTATATATAATAGGCACTCACCGAATTTGTAAGGTTGTTGTTCGAGTTGTTATCACTGATGCCAAAACTGGTGCAGACGCTGTGGCTGCTAGAGTTTGTCGAGAAGATTCTTTCGTTGAACTGTTGGCTTTCCATAACTACTCTGTCTCAATAAAAATTATCATCATCATCATCGTTGCGTCATCATCATCATCGTTACAGCATTATTATCACTAATTTCATCATATTATCACATTATAACAGCGTGTTGCATTAACCCCAACAATCTACCGACCTATGACCATGTTCATCACCATATCACATCATCATCATCATCCCCTCTATCATATCATCGTCATATCTGCTATCATTATCATCATCAAAACTGCATCATCATCAGCATAGTTCCTTCATCATCATCACCATCATCAGCATATTCCCATCATCATCATCATCATCACAAGAAACTGACCATTCATCATCATGACTATCATCATCATTAGAGATAACCAACCTATCGTCGTATTCATCAGCCGAATGTAGAATGCCACACTTCTTCGCTATTGACCGGGCAGTCGCTAGGTTGTCGCCTGTTATCATTCGAACTGTTATACCAGCTCCTTGGCACTTTGCTATAGCCATTGGCACCTAAAATATTAATCAATCAAACAGTCAGTCAGTCAGTCAATTAGTCATTCAGTCAGTCAATCAAAAAATAAGTTTATAAGCGCTATTTCCGCGATGTTCAACAGCGCTCCTCAATGAATTTTGTAAACAGATGGGTCTTAAGATCCGCTCTGAAGTTCGCACGGGATGGAGAAGTAGTTAGAGAAGGAGGTAGAGAGTTCCAGAGAAAAGGGCCAGAAAAAACAAATGCAGATTTTGCAAAAGAATGTTTTTTAGTAAGAGTTAAGAAGAAGTGAGAACAAGAAAACGATCGCAATGTTTAATTAATATATCTGATAAATACTTAGGAAATAATTTCGTTTGAGACTTATATGTACGTAAATGGGCAGATTTAAAAATTATTCTATATTTTATAGGCAGCCAGTGCAAGAGAACAAGATATGGAGATATAAGAGAGAAGAAAGGGGCACGAGCAACTAGACGAGCAGCAGAGTTAAAAGCTTTACTTAAAGGATGGAGTGTAGAATCAGGAATACTATAGTAGAGCGAGTTACAATAACCAATCCTAGATAAGACTAACGACGTAACAAGAAGGAGAAGAGTAGGATTGTCAAAAAAAGTGAATGAGTGAGTGAGTGAGCGAATGATTGAGTGAATGAATAAGTAATAATAAAATAATAATAATAATGTAATAATAATAATAACTTCAGATCGGACGGGGTCTTCAATGCCAACAACACAGAGCAGTGTTAGGCTGGAGACGATGTCATTTTCATCATCCCAATCAATATTAGCTGGTGTTATTGTTATTATTATTACTGTTATTATTACTGTTATTATTATTATTATTATTATTATTATTATTATTATTATTATTATAGTAGTAGTAGTAGAAGTAGTAGTAGTGGTGGTAGTAGTAGTAGTAGTGGTGGTAGTAGTAGTAGTAGTGGTAGTAGTAGTAGTCGTAGTAGTAACGGAAGAAGTATCATCCTAATCATCATCATTAACATTTTCTTCCTTCAGCATAATCATCACCATCATCGTTTTCATCATCATCATTATCGTCACCGTCATCATGGAAATCTCTGTAGGCAATGCAGAGCGTTCTCTCTCCGTTGGTGGCCATCTTGTGAATGACGTCATCTATGACGGAATTCTTCATTGCCAGGGTCATCTCAACCGGATTTCCGGTTTTCGTGATCACGTGGGTACATCTGTGAATAATAATAATAATGATAAAAAAGAAGATGAGGAAGATTAGATTGGCGATGAAGATGAATGATGAAATTTCATTATCATTATCATCATCTTCTGCTTTTTCTTTTTCATCATCATCATCGTCATCGTTATCATCATCATCCCCATCATCATCATCTTCTTCTTCTTTTTCTTCTTCATCATCACCATCATCATCATCATCATCGGCTTACTTGGAGAGCAGTATTTCCGAAGCCCCTTTCACGAATAATCTCACGCGAGTATTACTGTTAAAACTATTGTTGTTACTATTGTTGTTGTTGTTATTGTTGTTGATGTTGTTGCTGTTGTTGTTGCTGTTGTTGTTTACTAATTTGATGGCCGTACCCATGTATTTCCTCAGAGAATTGAAAGTGTAAACCTGATGATATTGATGGTGACGACGAAGATGATGATGGTGTAAAAAATCATCATCATCATCGTCATCATCATCATTATCATTATCTTCTCCTTCATCACCATTATCATCGTCATCATCATCATTACCATCATCATTGTCATCGTCATCATCATCTTCTCTTTCATTGTCATCATCATCGTCATCATCATCATCATCATCATCATCTTCTCCTTCATCATCGTCATCTTCTCCTTCATCATCATCTTCTCCTTCATCATCATTATCATCGTCATCATCATCATTACCATCATCATTGTCATCGTCATCATCATCATCATCATCATCATCATCTTCTCCTTCATCATCATCATCTTCTCCTTCATCATCATCTTCTCCTTCATCATCATTATCATCGTCATCATCATCATTACCATCATCATCATTACCATCATCATCATTACCATCATCACTGTCATCGTCGTCATCGTCTTCATCATCATTGCCATCATCCTTACCTTTACAAAATTCTCCTGTGGATACTGCTTCCGAACGTCATTGTAATCCAATTTGATGTCCAACAGCAGACCGAGCAGGGAGCAATCCGTCTTATTTCCGCTACACTTCCTCGCTCCTTTTTGCATCTTATTATTATTATTATTATTTTCATTGTTGTAGTTGTTGTTGTTGTTGTTGTTGCTGTTGTTGTTGTTGTTGGTTGTTGTTGCTGTTGTTGTTGTTGTTGTTGTTGTTAGCACCATTATTAATTATAGTTATTATTTATTTATTTGCATCTAAAGCTAAATTTGAAATAAAAAGCGATTGAAAAAAAGACAGACAACGGACGAATAAATAAATGAAAATCATAACAACAC